TCCCGAACATTTAGACATTCATAGACAAAGAAGTTTCCATTTCTAGCCTTAGTTTGGCTTTTTATTGATAAAAACACAAATAATACCTAAAAGATGCATGACAGACCTGCTGGTATTTGCAGTGACTAGGGACAACAAATTCTGTGAATACTTAGAACTCCCTCTAAAGATTCTTATAACTGCCTATAGTTAAAACAAAAATATATGCCTTAATATGCATTGATACACACAAAGAAAACCTTCCTGGTATTTAATGACGCTGAAAGATTCAGTATTATGTATTTTCCAGGCACATAATTCCACTTTATAGCACAGTAAAGTAACTACGTTAACTTCAATTGTTATAAAAATGTGATATCAAATATGGCTTAAAACAAATTTAACTTCATGATTTAACATCTCTGCTCTTTCTGAAACAACTCCTGCAGGAAATCACCACAACATGACTCCTCCTATAATGAGCTCAGCAGTTCCACCAGGTATTTGCTAATTGCTGCTGGCTAGTCTGAAGGAGCAGAGTGGAGACGGCTGCTCTGTGAGGCGGAAGCTTGGAAACTGCAGCTCCAAGGAGGGACTTCGTCTAGAAGGCGGGGCTAGGCCTAATCAGGCATTTTACACAGCTGAATGGTTGCCATGGAGATTAAAGGATTTCTCAAACATGCATGAAATAATCAAGGCAACGCTACAGACAGTAGTGTTGCCTACTACCTGTAGTAGATAGAGGAATAATATTAAAACATGATGTATTATTGACATAATTCAGCCTCTTTAAACAGTCATCTTAAACATCAGCAGATTATTTGTAGCTTTAACAGTAAATTATCCCAAAGAAATACTTTTTGGCTGTTTGCACAGAAATCATTGAAATGCTTCTCGACACACATGAAGCGTCTTTCCAAGTTCTCCAACTTCCTTGATTCCCAGAATCAAAAAACATGACTGTGACATGAATGGGGTTTATAATTATATTATAATTTAGTTGTAGAATCACCAACCAAATAATCATTTTGCGAACAAGAAGCTGGCTCATAAAGATAAAGATAAAGGTTTTGTAGTGGAAGGAGTATTTTTTTAATAACCATGACTGATTCAGTGACTTGATTTGTGCAGCTCTTCTCTTTAATCTTTACATATCCTGCACGGCTATAAAAAGATATTTTGATGAAATATGCAACAAACCTACAGCGCTCATGCCTCAGTTACCTCCACATCTGCAGTAACAGTGACTAAATCAGCCTCGTTATTCAGAAGAAGTTTATGTTTCAGGCAGCGTTTATGATCCATTCAGTGAAGTACAGAATTATTTTTTCCTCCAGAGGCTCTGCTGCAAACAGAATGTATTAAAGGGGTAAAAAATCTTTTAAAAACTCAGATATTTTTCAAGGCACAATTGACTTTTCATGTAGCCGACATCTGTTTCTCCATTTAGTCTTTGCTGTTGGAGTTAAAGCACCAAAGATTTTTAAAAACCTGTCCACCTCTATTCCTGCCACGCTGTGTCAGATATCGTTCCAGGAGGAGAACCGACTCCTTGTGTCTGTTTGGACATTCAGTTTGTGATCAATTTTGCAGGAATGTTGTTTCTCCATCTCCTTTATTCCTGCAGCTCTGAACCCTGTCTGCGATGCAAGTCTGAGTTTGATGCATTTGAAATGCTTCACCCTGGAGCTCCTGTTAGTCATAAATAAGCCATCTTGATCCGTTGTAGTCTGGTTCTGCTTTGCCTGCAGAGCCTAAGTGACACTGCTTAGGACTGCTTGATGTTTGAGGAAAAAGGACAGACATTACTTGTGAGTGCATATTCTCATAGTTCCTCCAGTTTGTGGAATTATTTCTGAGTAAATGTTTTTGCATTAATGGGGTTTTCAGTGATTCAACCGGATACTAATGTTGCATTTCTGCAGCTCTGCTTCATGTGTGACGGAGTTTAATGTGAAAGTGTCGCTCCAAGCAGGGAGATGAAAACAGAGGAACTCAGGGACAACACAAGCTATTCCAAATAGCACTCATCCTAAATAATGCAGCAACGTGTAGGAGAGGGGCGAGGAGGGCAGGAGAAGAGGAGGAGAGAAAAACAATGGGAAGAGTTTGAATACTGGAAATGACAGAAAAAAAATACATGTTAATGTAAAATATTTAGGGCTGCACCTAATGATTATTGTTGTTACAGATTAATTTGATTATTTTAATGATTAATCCATAACTTGAATAAAAAAATGGGCAGATTCTACAGATTTTTTTTTTTAAAGCTTTTTATACAAAATTAGAAATGCGTTAAAAGATAAGAAGAAACTAAACATTTTACTGATTAAAATGCAACAACAGCGTTCTCTTGGTGAACACTTGCACGTCTGCAGCTAAAAAATACTCCTAACAATTACTAAATTATTTGATGATTATTTTAATAATCAACTCATCAAGACTAATAATTTCAACCCTAAAAACGTCTAATACAGAAAACTGCTTTGAGAAGCGTATTGGCAGGAAAACCAAGCATCATCACAGTGAAATATGAGCAAAGCAACATTTTCTCTGACATCACTGTAGTAAGAAATTTGGACCAACAACTCTCTCAGGTCGATGGCTGCTGTGAAAGGCAGAAAATCTCATTAGATTGATTCACAAATCGAATATGTGCAACATGATAACTGGAGAGGAGTGCAGCTTAAACACAGCGAAAAAGAGCAGCAGAGAAACCCGAGAGCTCCGATGATGGATCATAAATCTATAAATATGAATTTATACATTTTGGCTTCCATACATCTGCTCTTGGCCACTCAAACTATCCCATCACTATTCTACATTTTCTGCAAAAACAACAACAACAAAAAACAATCTATGTAAAATGCAATGACACAGTTTGGGGTTTACCTCACAGATCAATGTTACAGGAACGAATAAATCAAACGCTGGGTTACATTTTGAATCTTTTGTGTTAAATTGCCAAATTTGTTCTCACAAACAATTCAAGTACTATTAAAAACAAGTGATTAAGCAGATTGCTTTTTATAGCTTTTATTGAAGTTGACCATTGTTCATATGCAGGTGGAATATATGTTCAGTATTTGTAACAATACACTTTAGTCTTTGCAAAAAGAAGAAAAAAAATCCCTTTAAATGTTTCATATTTTAAGCAAGTTGTGGCCCAGTTTCAAAAGCATCTAAGCACTGAGATCATCCTCGTCTTCCACTGACAGTGTGCGTTAGCTTTCTATTATCTTCTGCTAACGCAGCAAGTGCTGTGAATTTGTATGTAGATTTATTCATGGAGCGTTCACAGTGCAGAGGTGCTTTTGGGGTGCCAGGCTTTGTTAACAGCAGATGTCTTTTCAGTCACCGAACAAAAATACGTCCTTATCTGTCTGCAGTCCCGACAAGCAGAAATGCCATTTGAACACACATCCATTCTCTGCCAGTGCAAATGATTCAGATTTAAAACAGAATAAATTAGGAACAACAGCAACTGAATGTACAATTCATCACCCCTTGAAAAATCCATTTACACTCATATGATGAGGAACAAAAACACCTGCTAACTCTAAGGATATCATTTTTTTTAGTGCGATTTCACTTATTTTACACCACAGGTCACTTTTTCTTTCATTTACTCCAAAGCATCCACAGAGAAGGAGGCTCAACCACAAGCAAAGTTTCCTTGTCACATTTAGATTTTTATTAGCGAGTTCAGTAAAATGTTTAGGTAAATTAGCCGAATCCTGGCTCAGTTTTTATCTCTGTAGGCTTCTTCTGAGTTTATTTTACCTTATATTGCCCTCAAGCTGCAGCTGTAATTACAAAAACATGTTGCATTAAGTCAAAGATTCAACAAAGATTTTTTTGCAACAAAAGAAACTTGAGGAAGAACAGCAACACAAAGTTAAAAGCTAAAGCTAAAGCTAATATGTGCCTTATTTGACTCCTTGCTTGCAGCAGGCTGTTCAGTCACACTCAGGGCAAAACCTGCCGATATTATGGTCTGAATGGTTTTGGGTTAGACGGTTATGGATGTGATGTCACTCCACCGAAACGTAACAACTGTTCAAAGCTTCTGTCCAGCTCAGCTTTTAGACTCACAGGCTAACTCTCTCCTTCAGCAGTGCATCTCAGTGTAGTCTGCTCAAGTCTACAACTCGCATCTACATGTTCATGTCCTACATTCCAATGGTCATCTGTGCATTGCAGTATTCTCACTGTTCTGTACAATATTGCACAATTCATCTTATCTGCAGCCACTTTCTCCTAATCACATTATCACACATAATTGTTGCCTGCAACCAATGCTGAGCACAAACTAAAATTACACAAAAAAGGGAAAAAAAAAACCTTTGGAAAATGTTCTCAATCTTATACCATTTTCAAGCAGGTATGCAAAGTTTTGTTACAGATTAAATTCTAAGATACAATCCCATTCAGCAATATAAACTCCAACATTTTTAAATCATGTACTGGATGATCCCTCAGTGGAAAAACACCTGGATTTATCTGGTTATGCTCCATCTGTGTTTTAAAGGGACGTCTAGTGCCATTTTATAGCACAATCAAGTAATTGTTAATGTCAGCTGTTATTAAAAAAACCAATAAAAAAACCCTGTATATGCCAAATATGACTTAAGGAGATTTGATTTTGCAATTTAACACCTTGAAATTAGGCCTTTGTCCCTTTAAGAAGCTTCTGCTTTTTCTGAAACTCCACCTTCGGGAAGTCATCACAACATGGCTCCTCCATCAACCCTTCAGCAACATTTTCACCAGCGTTTCACTGAGACGTAGCTCATATACTGAGCTGACCAGGTGTGTGCTAATTGCTGCTGGCTAGTCTGAAGGATCTGAGCGAGGGAGGGCTGGTCTGTGAGGTGGGAGCTTGGAATCTGCAGCCCTGAGGAGGAGCTTCGTCCTTGAAGGCGGAGCTACATCCACCACGTGTTTTGCACAGCTGAATGGTTGCCATGGAGATTCAAGGATTTCTTAAACATTCATGAAAGACTTAAGGCAACACTCCAGGTATGTTTTTGAAGAGGGAATAACATCAGGAATATGATGTAAAGTTAAAAAAAGTCAATTTTACATAATACTGCCCCATTGATGAACATTGCAACTCAAATAGTTTCCATTTCCTGCAGCGACTCTCATTGAGGTCCGACTGTTTGCCTTCTAAAAACAGGAATTTAATGGCCTGATCTCAATGTTCTCCCCATGTTGGGATGCAAATTGTGCAAAATGCAGAACTGGTTATGCTTTTTCATAGTTTCACAAGTAAAAACAAAAATATATAACTTTCTGGCTACATGTTAAATAATTGCAAGGACATATGGAATGGGTAGGTTAAACTCCCCGGTGTGACGCACTTCAGTCCATCCATCATCATCATCATCATCATCATCATCTGGTTGTCTGGGTTCTGGTTCGAGTGTTGGGAGGATGCGGATGGACAAACACATTGGGGCTTTATCTGCATTGGGAGCTGTTTGTGTCAGTTACTTGTCAGCTCGTTTGGTCTTACTTCAAGTGTACTAAGATATTTGCACTATAATTTAGACCAAAACTATTTCGTAAGATTTTGTGTTTTTACAGTGAACACTTCTTTAGGAGGAAGAGTTGAGGAGCCTCTAAGCAGATTAAGAAAACTTGCCTGTGAAATATTCTACATTAACCCCCATGATTCTCATGTTAGATAATAGAAAACATTTTTATAGTTTATAGAAAGAAAAAAATCACATCTACAACCCAGAACTCACACAAAGACTAAAGTGCAGAAGCCAAGAATGCGTCCTTCTGGCTGTAAATGAGTCAACATTATTTTGTTTCCTTAACTGCAGATGTAGACATCAAATCCATGGCAGCCAGCTAACCAGGAAGTAGTTAGGAAATTGTCCCATTGTCCCTTTCCTTGCAGATGCCCTTCTGTGGACAGATTGGAAGTAGAGCAGCGTGGAAACAGCCTGGCAGGGCCGTGAGTTCAAACTCCTGTGGAGTGGAATAATGAGTGGAACAGCAGGTTGTGTGGCCTGAGGAGAGAAACGAGCCGAGATGTCAGGAGGAATCCACCTGAGGATGGGACGAGTTAGCCTCTGGCTGAGGCTAAACCACAGACGTTATAGCAATCCAGGTCCTAAGAACACAATTATTCCTTAGCAAAGATTAAAACATATATATTTAAGGATAAAATTATACGTGGATTATAATTTCCTGATAAATTCTGGCAGATCTCAAAGCATGCAGGTGAAAGGTTTAATTCTAGGGTGTTCCTCAGGGCTCAATCCTGGGACCACCAGCCTTTATTTTATTTATAACACTCTTCACATCAGCATTCTCAATGCTCACTTTAATGCAGATGACATAATGACATAAAACAATGTTAGTACATTTACAGGAGCTTTTCTCCTGGCTATAAAGTTTGAACTGTGTGTAGCTTACTGTTTGTAATTTAAGTTGATCTGATGGCTGAAAGAAAACTCACCTGTTACAAAGTGATAAGTGAAGTGAATTGCAGCAATACAGAAAAATCTCAGAAAGTATTTTTATTTTTTTCTAGTATTTTCCTACGTTCATCTTTGATCATCTCTGTCCCATGGTCCAGTCTGGCCAAACCACATTCTTCCCATGTTTTCTGTCTTTTCTTTGGTTTTTATGATGCTGTTTGTTCTCTAATGTTCTCAACAAACTTCTGAGGCCACAGCTGCATTAAATTACACACAGCAGGACACTATTTAATAATTAGAGGACTTTTGATTTAATTTCACTGGATTTTATTTAGGGACATCAGTTTATAAAAAAAAAACTTTTAAAAATGCATAAACCATTTTGTGTTGATCTTTCATATAAATCTAAAATGACATGTATTGATGTTTGCAGCTGTGGTGTGACAACATGTGAAACAGAGTATTTTTGCATTTGTTAACTATTGTGTCATAAATTCTTACCGTTCAGATAAAATGCAGCAGCCTGCGGCTCAGACTCACTGATCCTCACAGGAAGCTGCAGGAAAAGCCTCGGCTTCCTGGTTCTGGAACATGTACTGAGGAAAAACATGCATGCAGTCAAAGACTTTCTACATGACACAATCTGACATTTTTATTTTATTTAATTATAAGTGATTAAGTGTTAGAAATGTTTTATTTTTTTGCTTTTGCTAAAATGTCCCTGATGAAGCTTTCGTTTCAGTCCTGAGACAAATTGTGGTGAATTTCACTTTGAAATGACTGAATTGATGCTTTGCCTCAAGTTGTATTTGATTTTTTATTCCCCTTTCTTTTGCTGAGATGCGTTAAAGATGACACACATTCCTGTTTGTGTGTGTTAAAGCCTTGCAGTGTCTTTCATCTTCACTGGCTGCTCCATCCTGTAAAGCAGTTATTCAGCGATACAACCAACCTTCCTATGCCCATGCTGTTTGCATTCACCCTCCTGAAAATGGAGCAACATAAATAACACGATGCAAGGTAATTTACTCAAACATGGAGCAGGCAGCCTGGCTGTAAGTGGGGAAACGTTCAGTGCTCTCTAATTACTGGGAGCCATTTGATAACTTTCATCTCCACAAACAAAACCAAACAGAGATGAAGAATGAATCAGCTCTCTTTCAGCTCAGAGTCAGAAAAATCAGCTTTTTACAGGAGCAAAATGGCTCAGGAAGACGGCTGATGACGACTTTCAAAGGTTTCCAAGAGCTGTTGATGTTTGAGGATTAAGGGCTGATTAAGGGCTGTTGGAAATAATGAGGCAGAAAAACATGGCACAGCTCTCTGTCCCACCGCTGGTTTTATGAACCGTCTAAACACACCACTATCAGCTCAATAATTTCTTAATATTGATTAAAAAGTGGCAGATTTTTTCACTTGTAACAAGATATTTTATGTTACAAGTGCAAATATTTGCCAGTGGAACTATCATTTTTTAAATCAATATTAAGGAATTATTGACCAAAACAAGCTCCTATATCTTGCTGAAAAGTTTCTTTTTAAGTTAGGTTTGTCTTATTTCAAGTGCACCATCATTTTGTGTTTTTGCATTGCAGCATCTATAAGCAGTTTGTTTACTGGATGTTAGCTGTGAAACTCCTTCCTCAGTGCAGTGAAAGCCTGCCTGACCTCAGAGCTGCAGCATCCTGTCTGTGCTCTCCTGCCTGGTGAGAAGAATTGGACCTCAGAGAAGTTATTGATTACTCAGTGAGCTCTGGCTTTTAGTGTTTGTGTCTCTGAAGCTGGAAATGAACCGAGCCCCTAAATGACCTCCTGATTTAGAGCGCTGGATGCAGGATCATACTGTCCAATCCCATCATCTTCCTCACTGAGGCCTTCACTATTACAAAACCTTACGAGACACTTTACTGTTTATTACAGAAGTTATTGAGTTTAATGATTTAACTTCCTCTCTCCATCCATCACAGTATTGATGAATTTGTGGGATCAGAGCTAGGTGTGGCGTTCCACTCATAAATTCCTCCAGCTTCCCTGACTGCCTTAAGAAAACAGTCAGTACCTACTGCTATTACTTTTTGAAAAGTCATTGATTTTCCTTCAAATCTGTTTGCACAAAGTTCTGTCAAGATAACTAATTTTGCTGGACGATAACTTGTCCCAGAAGTTATTGAAATAAAGGATAATGTTGCTGTTTTGAGACCATTTTCAAGTAATATAATGCTAAAGGCATAATTATTCAAGAACTCATTCTAAAAAACTCAATAATCATTAAATTCTAATGAACATTTTACACTGAAATCCAAAATGAATAAACCAAACAACAGAAACAACAAATAAAATGAATCATAAAATAAAACTGTCCTTCTAGAAAAAGGCCAGTTGAGACCAAACAACCAGACTGACCAATTTTGTCTTCCAGCTTTTGGTAAAAAAGAGAAAATAGAAAAAAAGGTTAATCACGCAAATGGGAATTATCGAGCTTGTTTTAACTTATCATGTGGTTAATTGATTTATTGTTTACTGCGACAGGCGTATTTGTAAACTCAAGATCCTCTCCATATTTCAGAGATTTCATTAAAGACCTTCATTAACCAGAACACATGATTCAAATCACAATCGGCATGTTCCTGTGAAAACATTTTCTTCAAAAATCTCGTTTTTAGATCAATAGCGATTTGCAACTGCATTTTAGAATCTGTTGTTCTAATCAGAAGTATTATTTCATGTGAAATGAAGAATAAAATTCACTTTAACACAAAGATATTGGCATCGAAAGCCAAAATTTATACGTGATTTTATTTCTCATTTCTACACCTCATACATCTGGAAAACGTTTCTTATTTATTCTTTATATCACTTTTTATTGTTAAAGAAGGTTTGTTCAAGACACAAAATACCATTATTCCATTTTCATCTTTCTCGTGTTCTGGTTCTCTGTTAACTACTTAAAACTCGGTTATTTAGTTTGCTTTGTTTTGCGTTTTGTCCACAGCACCAATGATGGTTTGAACTCACAGATTTCAGGTTGGATTCCATCTCTGTGAAGTTCCACTCAGTCAGAGGAAGGCTTAAACTGAAAGGCTGCAGAAACACATGAAGAAGAAAAAATGAATGATTCACATCTTCAATAAATAAAAATAACAAGCAGATGCATCTTAACTGAAACCATGGCAACCAGTTCACTGACTTTTAGTTCATGGTTTAATTGTCAAAGACAAAAAGAGAACGCTTTCATAACTGAGAAGTTGAATACCAATCAATATTTAATTACATTCATTCATTAATTGATTACAATAAATGTGAAAATGTCTGTATTAATGGTTTTCACAGTTTATACTGCAGCACACACAATGCAGTGAACATATTAGCTGTAAATAGCAGCTTTTACTGCTCATCGTTCCCCAACATTAGTTATTCTACAGAGATAAATATTTTCATCATCTAAGCAGCTTCACTCAAAGCTAACGCTGAATTTTCCATCTTAAATATTAACATGTTAAATGTTAAAGTTTGTGACAAGACAAGTAAAAAAGATCAAACAAACATAGCTGGTTTGGAAGTGTGAAGAAAAACAATGATTTCTGAAAAGATCCGAGTTTGGAGAAATTTAAAGACAAGCAGCCGTCATACATGGTGCTGGAAGGACAATGAGATGGGATTGTTTTGGACCCACAGGAATTTGCACTCGTTGATTGGAGCTGATCTTAATTTAATAAAACATTTTTATTAATAACTGCATCCTTACATCCATTACGCCGCCGGCTCCAGCTTCCATGGCGCTCTGCTGGTGGCTCCTGAGCAGCAGCTGCTGCAGCTCCTCCAGACTCATGTCTACGTTCTCCACAGACTCTGGAAGCTCAGCTCTGCACAAACACACACACACACACACCAATATTCAACACACACATGGGTTTCTGTGAGGAAGTCCGGCCGGGATAACGTACCGGTCCAGGGCGGGTCTCCGGTTCCTCCTCTCCACCATGGAGGCTACGGAGCCCCTCCCCTCCAGGACAGATTGCACCATGGCAACCGGGAGGACTGGAGGCTCAGAGGAGCAGACCTGACAGGTGGACGCCATGGCCGCCGCCTCTCCTCCATCAGCGCCGCCTCCCTTCCCTCCACCGCGGACTCCTGGGCTCACAGGCTCCTCTTTGATGAGCATCATGCTTTTCTCCCTGAGCGTGGAAGCAGAGACAGTTTCCAACACTAAGGCTGTTTTCACACCTGATAGACCGGTAGACTCGGTTAAACTGGGGATCAAAATCACAACATTTGTTACATTTTCAGCATCTGTGGTTCACTTTCACACTACACATTGTTAAATGAACCAAACACTGGGAGCAGCCTGTTCCCCTCCTCACCTGTGGTGGCGCTGCACCAAGAAACGCTGAAGGAAATGACACAAAAACTTCTGAAGAAGACATGACCACAACTTCCTTCTTCACAAAATGTAAACAAAAATGAAGTAGCGTCAGATTTTGATTTCTCCTGCTACTGCTAGTCTAGCGCCTTTGTTTTGGTTGCATTTACCCAGAATGCCCTACGTTTTAGTCTGCTTCCTTCCTTCGGTATACTCTATGGTCCGCTTGCATCCAGATATGTATTCAAACCACACCAGAGTTCACTTTGATTGAACAGAAATCGAGGTTTGTAGACGAACCAGAGTTTGTGTTTTTGGTCCGTATCAGAGTTTGATTAGCATTCCTACCTCCCAAAGCAAACCAGACTTTCTACACAAATGAACACCAGCCCAGTTTAGTCGGCTTTAATTGAACTCCAGTTTGTTTGTGTGGAAAGTCTGATTTGTTTGGGGAGATGTGAACGTGTCATCAAACTATGATGCAGATCCAAAAAGCGAACTGGGGTCCTACAGCCTCACAACCGTTAAAATCTGACACTACTCCATTTTTATTTACATTTTGTGAAGAAGAAAGCTGCGCTCAGTGTCTTCTTCTGAGGTTTTTGTGTCGCTTCCTTCAGTGGTTCTTAGTGCAGCGCCCCCACAGGCGAGGAGGGGAACAGGTGTTTAAAAGGGTTTGGTTGGTTTGACTCATTGTTATGTGAAAGCAAGCTGCAGCAGCTGAAAATTAACCTTTAACCTTTTGAGACCCTGAAGTTGTCTGAGAGATTACAGATGTTCTGGTAAATCAGTGTTTACTTTTCTGACTCACCTGTTGTCAGCAGACTGCATCTGAATGGCCATGCTGGCCTGAGTCATGTCAGTAACATCTGAAATGATCGGCCCTCCGGTCAGTCCGTCCGTCGAACAAGATGCAGTATCGCTGGATGGCTGAGAAGAGACAAAAACAACAAAAAGCAAAGTGGCATTTTGTTTTATAAAACTGAAACTTTTTTTTTCCAAAGCTGAGCTCTCAGACCCAGTTTTAATGTTGCTGCCTCTTTTTCTGCCCCTCCTTTAAAAGAATCATATTTAATAACTATGTGCAGTCAGAAACACCACACCTTAATAGGTGGCCATTGCACTCTGCTTCCCTCTAGTGTTCAGTTAGCAAACTGCTCAAAAGAGTTGTCTTTTTTTTCTGTGCATTTGGAAGATCAACTGTCACAATTTAAGACATTTTGATTAAAATTTTATGACAACATATTAGGTCTTTGTTGACAGAAAAAAGAAGAATACAATTCTGACTTTTCGAACTCTGACATCTCTGTATTTCTAGAAAATTCTAGAACAGGGGTGTCAAACTCAATTTCACCGAGGGCCACTTCAGCATATTGGCCCCCCTCAACGGGCCACATTGACGGTACAAATCAGGAGTGCATCCCTGCTAAAACACCCCAGACAAAAGGTTGACTTCCCTCATTCAGTTCTGTAGAGACTTATAATGAGTCAATGGTCCAGGTGTGTTAGAGAAGGAATGCATCTAAAGCTGCAGATGGTAGCTCTGGAAAACTAGGCTTGGGCAGCCCCAGCATAAATGTATAAAATACAATGTTAAAAATAAATTAAACACCTCATATTATCAAATAACTGATTTTATGTATTGAAGTTTTAAATATTACATTTGAGTTTCCATGGATGTAAAATTACTGCTCAGTTTAAAAATTACAATAAATGTTTAAAGGTAAACAAACAAATAATAAAAACAAGTCACATGGCCAGCATTTTTTTTGGAAAAACATTGGAATATAAGCACTTTTTATCAAATCTTCATTGTGGTAAGAT